CACCCATCTGGGTCTATTCCATCAGTCTTTGTATTTTCCATGGTTTTAATGATGTACAACTTGCTCTTTAATGTCAGTATTTCAACTGCTGTAAAATTAAACTTTTATACTTTCTATAATTACACTAGTCTCTAGGTCTTTCCAGCCGCTGATGCAGGTCTCGTATCCAGCATGTTATATATGATAGCGTTTTTGCTGCCTTGAGTATGTTCTGCAGAATAAACAGCCACCTTGAATCAAATATCAGAGGCAGTTTTAGCTTATGGCTGCATCAGACTCTTCATGTTTATATGGCGTTTTTGTTCATGTAAGTGTTTAGAGTAAATAAAAATGTTTATACAAAGACTGCGTCTGGCTCCAGGTGTCACTGTTGTGCTTTGCCATGCAGTATCACTGTTAATATGACCGTGCTGATTACTCAGGGGTAACTGTAGCTGTGTTTGGTACCAGGCTGGGGATCTGCGCCGCTCCTGGGAGAAGCTAGGAGCCTCTGGCTTCTTGTTTGCAGGGTTTGTACAAATGCAGTGCCTTGTCTCAGCTGTACAGTTACAGTGTGTTCATGAGGCTAATCTGGTTTGAAACGATACTTCTGCGTGTCTCTTAATGAAGAATCCATCCACCTCCCAAAAAGAAGCTGCAGCTGACTTTTCCTCACTCAGCTTCCTCGCTCTCAGCTTCCTCGCTCTCAGCTTCCTCGCTCTCAGCTTCCTCGCTCTCGCTGTCAGTGTCGTGTTGGCAGCCTTGCCGCGGCATCAAGAAATGGCATGTAATGTTCAATTCTGCGCACTGCGGGACTTTTTCATCAGCCCCGTTTCGCTTAACTTTGCCTGCCGATGTCTGTGGTACCTGGAAGGTTAAATGTGTTTAAAAAAAAATAAATAAAAAATCTGCTTTGGATCCCAGGGGTAACTATGCCATGTTGAACGAAGTGTGCAAACGTACAGGAGAGACCGCAACCGGGCAAGACTGGCTTAGTTACACCGCTATGAACACACCTGTTGCAGTGTCTCTCTTGTGGAATAGCGTTTTGTCCGCAAAGAGCAATCGAACATGATTGCGTTACGTAATCTTGGTGTCCTGAGGCTTTTCACAGAGTGCTTCTCTGACTCTTTACAGCACAGCTTATTAAATCACATTATTCCAAACAGCTGGTCGCGATATAATCACTGCTTTTATAATGCAGCGATACACGGATTCATTCTTGGACCCGAGTTCAAAGCAGGCTGAACAGCTGCAGTTTAATTTGCTTAACAGGGAAATAACTGGCTGTGATTGGCCTAGAAAATGTTAAAATGTACATATTGAGGGGCGTTGTAAAGCATATCACACTCATAACCTTGTAAATATATTGAGCAGCCTCATGTCCGCACGCCTCAGCATATGTCTGAAGCGCCTGTTCTCTTCGTTCTATTCCTGCTAACGGTGTTTGCAGTTCCTTTTTGATTATTTTTTCTTTTATGTTCCTCTCCATACAACACAGCTTTAAGTTCTAGTGGGGGAGCAATTTAAAAGAAGATACATAGAAAGCACTGATTGACTGACTGCTTTTTCATTTTCATTTTTTTTTTTTTCCCTTCATTTTGTCCCCAGGTTTAACGTTTTAAACCACCGGTTATGTCACAGACTTGCAGTAGACATTTTCATCCTGCAGCTGAAATTTTTGATTTGCTTATTTAAAAAAAAAACCAAAAAAAAAACCACTGGTTTACATAGGGGCTGTTTATGTATATATAAATAAATATGTATTGGGTTTATTTTGCTGAGTGCCCTCTGCTCTTCATTCTCAGATTTCTTTATTGGGGTATGATGCTGCCTTACGAAGCCGCCTTCTGCGTAGTCCGAGACGCCGTGCTTTTCATCGTCACCACGGTGATGATCCACCGCCTATATAGTCTTATTGTTGCCACCCAATAGTGTTGGTGGGTTTCATCTGGCTCTTCTAGGACCTGGTTCCCTTGGGTGACTGGCAAGCGCTGCTAGTTTCCCTGATGCATGCAAGCCTCCTCACTCTGACACAGTCCCCTGGGGAGGCAGACTGAAATGCCAGCTAAATATTTCTGAATTCCATTCAAGTTGCAGGCCTAATGATTTTGAGTGGAGGAAAAGCAGGTTTCTCTAAGTTCTAACCAATATTTCCGAGTGACTTGGAAAAGGTAAAACAACCAACCTCAATGGCGATTTTATCATGGTGGTAAGGAAGCCATCAAACTGTCATCTTTATCCTTGGTTTATACTTGGCTGATGGTCACAAATGGCTCTGGGTTTGTGCTCTGAAGGTGATTAAGCTCTCATCCCAACAGCGTGTTTTGCCAGTTCACTATGGACTGTACGAGAGTGATTCTATTGTAATTTGTCTGCATTTGAACAAGTTGTATTCACACTGAGCTTACCATCAGTTGGAAAAACCTGATTTCACTTCAGGGCTTGGTGAGTAGCTTTGACCCCTCTCGCCTCAGGAGCCCACCTGTCCACTGCGTGTGGAGTTGACGTGTCCTTCCCATGTCGCATGACAGACTAATTAGCCCCTCTACAACGCCCACAGTGTATGACTGAGCATGTGCAGACCCCCCCTAGAGTCCAGCCCAGCACTTGTTACCTATACTGCCTGCAGTGAGCTCCTGGCCCCCATCACCCTTGCCTGCGTAAGCAGTCATTAGATCAGTCATTAGGTCAAAGATGTTTAACTGTAACTGTGCACTTTTACAAACATTCACCAGAGAAATACACTGAGTGTCCAAAACATTAGTGTCTCCTTTCTAATGCTGCTTTGTGCCTTGTTTTGTCCTTTTGAACTGTCACTCCATTGTGGCATGAATTCAGCAAGATGTCTGCAGCATTCTTCATGGATTCTGGCTGGTATAGATGCCAATGTTTCTCACTGTGTGTTGGGTTAGTTGATAGTGGATCTCCACTCCAAATAGTTGATTCCATATAATTCTGTGGATATTCAATTGGTGTCTGGTCAAAGGGAAAACTGCTGCTTTATGCTGAATTAGTCATGTTCATGGAACCTTTCTTGGGGAGCGTGAGCCTTGTACCATGGTTCCAGCTGTTGCTTAGTGTTCAAAGCCACTTAAATCTTATTTGTCCCCATTCTCCTTCACTTATGCAATCTTTAGTCTCTTTAGTCTCAGGGCTTAAAAAAAATCGTTTTTCATCCTGACTTGTCCCATTCATCTCCACTGATTGAAGTGGATTTAACTTGTGAAATCAATTAGGCATCTTGGCTTTCACCCTTGTTCATCTGGTCGGTCATCTCAAACAAAGCACAGACTTCCCAACCTTATGCGCACTCTTGTGTAGGTAAATATAGCTGAAATGAATAATAATCCTATGGAAGATGATGTGACACGACCCCCACCCGCCCATTATAATGCAGGGGCTGCTTCCTATGTGGACAGGTCTATAGGTGAATTAGTGTGTGATGTCATATCCTGCCAGCACATGCTGGGGTTGTGCATTCGCCATCATTACTGTACTATATGAGGATCCTGAAAGATGGATTCCCTTCCCATCTGAAACATTTTTGTTGAAAATCCATTTCAAGTATGATAGATATTTGACGAAATTATCCTGTAGCAGTTGTATTGTTACGGCTCTGCTTCTGTTAGCTCTGGGTGCCAGAGTATCGTAATCCTCAGCTTTAAGCTTGGCTGCACGCTGCGCTTATTTGAATTTTCGAATGTAAATATAATAAAAGGTAAAAGGATATAGGAGTGAATTCAATTAAATGATGAACGCTGGATGTGTGGTACTTGCTTGTGCTGTGTGCATCACGAGACGCCCACAGCGACACTCACTGAGGCTGGGCTTACTATGCAGGTAGCTATTCAGGCATGACCACGAATGTGACACTGAAACGGGCCCCACTCACAAGAATCCTCCTTTCACTACCTTTCACCTTTTGCGTGGTGACTGAAGCTCATTATTTTGGAAGTCATTGAACAGAAGCTTTTTTTTTAATGGCTGACATTTTACAGATATCAGATGGTTTCTTTCAGTGGTATCACGATGTCAAAATTATGTAGAAAACCTCAGATTTACAAAGGAAATGTAAATTTTATCTTGGTTTCTCCTTGTGCAAAAGAACCAAATTATTTCTTTAATATTGATGGTTAAAGTTGATATTCTTAATATAGATAGATTTTATTGTCTAGATCTAAACTGTTACATTGTTAAAATATTGATGTTGGGCTACTACTACATACTCAACCACTGGTCGTTTTGTATAACCACTCCTCATCAATACCATATTTTATAGAAACTTAAATTGTGGAGCCAGGGAAATTCACATCTTGGTATTCGTCATTAGCTGACTCATCGATAATTACTAGGTTTATTTTCTCATTGTGACTTGCAAACTGTACAATAATTACACTTTAGTTCAAACCCCTGGATTCTTTTACTGTATAGGGTCCAGTCCCCAAAGCCTTTTGCTATTTGCTGCTGTCATAAAATCAGTGATTCTGTACCATTTTTATGAGCTACTCTGACTTGGTTACACTATTGTGCTAACAGTAGCCTATTCAAAGTGCTTTCTTCACAATTGACTGAGGCAGGCATCCTAAGCAAAAGAAGCATGAAATGAGTAATGATCCTGCTTCTTTCTCACCAGTGTTTCACGAAGATTATGACCTTTTTCTGATAAT